TGAGCATCTCTTGGGAGGATTGCAGTATGCAATAATGCAAATACTGGGGATTTTATTCTGTCTTGTCTTTGAAGTCAAATATTGTTTTCATTGTTTTGCCTTTTTCTGATTGTTTTTCTTTATTCAATACTCTATTTTGATTGGTTTATTGTGTTTCATTTTTTATTTGATTTTGCTATACCTGAAGACATAGACAACTATTGTACAGATAACAAGATACTCTGTGGTAGATATTGTTACTTTCCTGGTATTCTGCTTTGATGTTCTGTACCAATTTTGCTGCACTGTTTTGATTGGCTTTGTTCTGTCTTGTTTTGTTGTACTTTACTATGTTTAAAATAAAAAAAGAAAGTTAAAAAAGAGGTTCCATTTGATACAGCTTTTCCCCTTCTTGGTAACTTCCTGAAAGAATGAAAAGCATCATACCAAAGAAATACATGCATTCCCATGTTATAGCAATACAGTTTATAGTAACTAAATCCTGGAAACAGCCCAAATGCTCATGGACTAATGAATGAATAAAAAATATTGTGCTTTTTTTTAATGCAATGGAATACTGCTCTGCCCTGAAGTTGAATAAACTTGAAACATTTCTAGCTAAATGGATCCACTTTGAGACCATGTTCCTAAATGAGATAAATTTGACAAACATGCGTAAATATCACATGGTTTCTCTAGTGTGAGAAACTGAAAAGGCAAATGAAGAAGAAAAAGTGTAACATAAAAATAGGAAGAAAGTGAATGGAAAGGGGAACCATGGTGGGTGGAAGGGGAAAGGAAGAAAGGGAATAAGAAAAGTGTGACTAGAAGGCAACAAGGAAACAAAGCTTTTGTAAATGAAGAGGAGTAGAGGGGTTGAAAGAAGAGTAGTCAAGTGGGCAAAAAAGAAGAACCAAGACATACCATGCACAATACAAATGCCTCATGATGAATGTGAGCACTATGTATCAAAAAAATAATTTTAAAAGTATATTAAAGATGATAAATAAATGGAGACCACTATAAAGCAGCTGTAAGAGAGAGTTAGAGTTTATCAGTTGGCTTTCTAAGTTTAATTAGGAGTCTGTCCCAGGCCTAAGCAAGTGGATTCACACTAAGTGAACTTCATCAGTTTGGTCCCTGTTAAGACCTATAGAGTGGTCTGTGATGTCGTGAAGACTCAAGGACAAGAGAAGGCCACAATTAATTCAATAGAGACTGTAGCTGCAGGTGTCTCACTCCTGCCTTGAATGTCAACCTGGAGATAAGACAGTTCCCCTAATTAGCATAATTTACTACTTGGGAAAGTCTTTGAACTGACTCCCAAGTCCAGCTCAGTTCCCTTGCTTACCTCAGTATCCCTTTCCTTTCTTTGAAAATCAAATAAATGTAAGCTGCCCAGAGAAGTGTAAATAAAATCCAAAATGTATAGTAGATATTGTAAAATGGGAAGAAACTGTTCAAAAGAAGAGAGAAACTGGGATGGGGAAACAAGAAAAGAAGAAAAGGATATATATATATATATATATATATATATCCTTCTCTTAAAATAAAATTAGTTCTAATGAACTAATTTCTATTAGTTCATTGAAAAGGAAGGTTTGTGTTTATATTGTTTAATCCATTTTTCATACCAACAGTTTGTAATCTGAGCAACTACTTTGAAGGTAACAATATGCAATATATTAGCTATTTTTACTCTCCTATTATTTTTTTTGAAACTTTGTGTCATCATTTTTCTAGTTAATAAAAAAGATGGTCCCCCTTTGGTAAGAAGAAAAATGCCAAGCAACACAAATATCAGAAAGGCCTTTTCTTCTTTGGATTCTGCACAACAAAATTGGAGGCATGGAGATGCTCAAAGTTGGAATTCCTGATAACTCACAAGAAGAACAAACTTTGATCAGATGAAAATACTTCCCATTCATGCCTGAGGTTCAGGAAACTGAAAGATGTAACCCTGAAAGGTGTCACCCTGTAGTTGCTGACCACTCAGTCAGATGTGCAGTCAACATTGACATTGGTCCCTTCACTGTGCCCATTAGAAAAAGCATACTTGAAAGCCTGCCATTTGCATTTTTCTACCAGTGTCCACTAGTACTAGAGCTGTAAATTTATCCTAGATTTCTTTCCACTGTATTTGCTTGTCATTGGCTTGAGCTTGGATCTCAGCCACTCTTGCTATTGCTTTAAATATTTTGGACTTTCACAGATGTTTTTCTTTTAGTAGTATTATTTATTAACAAATGCCAATATTTCCTATAATGCTTTGGTTTGGGTTGAGGCACAACAGACACTAGAAAATAGTGAAGAAGCCACTCATTGTGGAGAAAACAGAAACAAATAGATTTCAGGTATGAGCTTTGTCAGCCAAAGAAGGAGATGCAGTCAGCAATACGCTAGGCCCAAACAGCCAATCAATGGAAAATATTTCCCCTCTTTTTAAAAAATTTTGTTAATATATATTTGTTGTAATAAATTATTACATTCACCTTGTATCCCCTATTTTAAAATGAATTATAATAAACGCAGATTAACAGACAAACAAGACACCAAATTACATTGCAGGAGAAACTCATGGTTCTCGGAAGCTTTCAGTCTCAGCAAAGCTTTAATCTGAAAGTGATTCAGGTTCACTGTAGTATACTTTTAGATACCTTGGCCATGTTGGAATATAATAATTCATTGTCTCCTAGGTCTAGGCTTCTAACTGTAAATAAACTAGTCAGAATTTTCCTTAGGGGATACAATTAAATCTTTTTATTTATTTTAAGTAAATCTTAACACAGTTTTTTTTTTTGTAATGCTGAAGAAAAAAAGACTCATTTTAAAAATCAGTTCTCTATATTGTCTGAAAGTAGCAGCTTCTGCCCTCTGAGCACAGCCCTGTGCCCTCTTCCTGCCCAGCCTCACTTTGGGGAAACAGTGGGTTCCCAACTCTCTAACTTGCTGGAACCCAGTGCCTTCATCCTCCTACATTACCTGTCCTTACAGGATTTCACTTCCTAATTTGTGGTGCCCATGTCAGGCTGGCAAGTCCCTGGTTGCATACTCTAGTGGACTGAGGCTGACCACGTGGTCAAAATTATAAACAGGTGATTTTTAAGTAACTGTCTCTATTTGAACTCACTCCTTTCAACCACAAACTCTATCAAAACCTTTGTAACTCTGTCTCCTCTGCTCAGAAGTTTCTAAGCTCAAGCTTTCCTGAGCCAAGCTAGCCAAATAAAGATCTAGCTTTCTCTACCTCTTCTAGTATGTATGTGATTCTTTATGCCATCTGAAGAAGTCTGGTGTCCTGTTTTCCATAACAATATTTTCATTCTTTTTATATCAAAGGATTACAATAAAAATATGGAAAAGGAGGAAAGGGCATCAAGGTATGAAAAGGGAACAGTAGAAGGTAGATTATTCAATGAAGAAATCCTGGAATCTTCAAAAAGTTGAAATAAGGATTGCCAAAGATATTAATTTTAAATTATTAGGCAAGCATGTAGGAAGGCATATGTAGCATTTCTCTCACAATTCAGAGTCCTTTGACAGAGCCATACAGGCCTAGGCAGATAAAACTTTGGTATCACTGCCCTGATCATAAGAAAAGACTTGCAGCTGTAATCTGGTTCTCTGATTTATAGGATTAATATTCTCATTCTGGAAATTTACTCTGAAAGCAGATAATGTCACATAGGACAGTAAGACTTTTTTTCTTGAGGACTGGAGGATGAAAATTTTTGATCAGTTCTTAAGAATAGAACTGATTTAAAGGCAAAGAAGTCAGCCCACCCTTCCTGTGAGCCCATGGCAGCCATGGGCCAGGAAGAAAACCAGAAAGTCAGCTTGCCCTTCCCATGAGCCAGCCAGCACAGGGGCTGGGAGACAAGAAGAGTTATCCACCCCCTCCCTGCTTCTGTAGGCAACTGGTTGATTTGGAAGAGAACTGGATAGGACTACAGCAAATGTACAAAAACACCTTAATGCTGGATTTGATTGATGGACCTTGCAAGCTGGGACCAGTAGGCTGAGCGTCTGTTTAGAGGATAACAATATGCAATTAGCAACTACGGGGGTTTCTTTCTGTCTTGTTTTTGAAATCCAGTATTGTCCTCACTGTTTTGTTAGTTCTTTTTTATTGTTTTTTTTCCCCTTCAGAATTAAAAATTTTAAAAAAATAATAGAGCCAAAGGTTTAGTCAGAAAAATTAAGGACACAAGGCCTTCATCGTGTGTCCCATTGAAATGCTGCATCCACCAGAAAGTGCCCTTTAATGGTGACAAACCACCCTCCCAGGGGCACTCCAGATGTGCTCTTATCGGAGCTGTTTCCCTGGAAAAGACTACCTCTGATCCGTGAAAGTGACGTATTTCACAGTCTGCATTGAGTGGTGCATACACCACTATGTCCCATTGGTAGGATTGAATGGGACCAAAGAGAAGAACTTGTGAACAGATCCTATTCACTGATAGATACAAGAAGAAATGGATGGGGGGGGGGGTCCTTACTATCCTCCAGAGATGGGATATCTGGTCACTAAGGAGTCATCTGTATCTGGAAATTCAGTTGCCAGAGGAAAGCTACAGTCAGCAAAGGGCATTGACATTGTTAAGGGGAAGTGCTTACAATATAAGTAAATACCTCCTTGATGAGTTTCTGCTCCAGTTGTACAGTGCACAGAGACTTAGAAAAGAAAAGTAGCCCTGTAGTCATAAAGGCCATGCCCACCTTCCTGTTTTTTGTCTGCCTTGAAGTCCCACAGATGAGTGGCCCAGAGCAGAATCTGTCAGTAGCGATTTCCACAGGGAACTGAAGAAGTAGAACAACAAGAAGTAGAGATTTCCACAGGGAACTAAAGAAGTAGAACAGGAAGTAGAGATTTCCACAGGGAACTGAAAGTGGTTGCTTAGCTCATACCCAATAAGGTGGCTTGGATGTAAGCTCAGAGGCTTTTGGATCCCACAGTAAGCAACCCCAGGCAAGAAACTTTAGCTGCCATTGGACTGGTCTCCCAAAAAGTCACAACCTCCTGAGAGAAGAGAGACCAAGAAAGGTAAGGTACCAAGAATATGAGTAAAAGATAAGACTATTAGACTTAAAAAACACTTTCAAGGAAGACTGTGGTTGAGGTTTAAAGGAAACAATCATTCTACCAGGGCTCTCACTATGCAGTTTTAATTAAGTTGTGAAGACTTGGGAAGAGATTTGAACAGCAAATTTAATTATACCAAGAATGTGTCATCCTTGTAGATTTACCAATAATTCAAGCACTGTATCTAAAGTTTTATTTTGACAGTTGAAATTTAACAAGACAATTTCCTCCAGACTCACAGAGAGACTTTTAGTTTTAGATAGGGATACTTATAAACTCTATGTCTATAAACTTTTAGGGAAGGTATTGTATTTTCCTATGATTCCTCTATATTTGCTGGGCAGGGTGAGCTCAGGGGAGGAGTAGTGCTGCTAAGTATTTTAACTCCTTTGTTGCCAATGGGTAGTTACCATACTTGTTACTTCAAGGGCAATCTAGTTTCTATGAGCTGACTGCTTTGCAAATTAATGTCCCTAAAAATTTTGAAAAAATATTAATTTTATCTTAGTGTCTTCCTTCTTCAAAAGGGACAAGATAGGTTAGGTAAAATTAGCACTAATATGAAGTTTATTATCCATTTTTAGTTAGAGATTTTGTATCATATATAATAGATGATGTCAGAGGACCAGCAGAGGGATCAGGCTTGCATAAAGGCAACGTGGCCTGGAATTTATTGTGCCTGGATGTAGGTAGAAATCTTCATAAGATCATAAGACCTGCTGCCCCAAACAAAGAGAAGTGTGTAACTTTTATAGGGATGAAGAGAAAGCAGAGGGTATTAGGCAGAAAGATCCCAGTGAAATCTGTAGTCAAAGTTCTCTGGCAGTCTAATGCCTCAGCGGGAAAAGTCCTTGATGTGTCCGAAGTAAATTCTCCCCAGATGTTCCCAAGATCTGCAAAATTTCTTCTCCTGTCCTATCTACTTTCTTTTTTTTTAATTTTTATTTTTTTAAAAAAAGAGACTAAGATAAAAGAGAACATAACAACACAGGTTAGAACAACTTAAGCAACATAGTGTTTCACCACAAGATAACCTGACATAACATTAGTTACCATAGTGTCTTTTTTCTTGAAATATTTGAGTATACCTTCATATACGATAGATCAAACATAACAAGACAGTGTAAAACCTCTCAAGAGAATGAAAGCATTACAGGTCCTGTGCTTGCCAATGACAGTCTCCTGTGCTGAGCTGAATTCTATGGAGAGTAGTGTTTGTGCTGGCAAGCAGGTTAGGGGTTGTGAGTCAGGTCCAAGTTGAACCTTACAGATTCCTCAATTGATTAATATGCCTACATGTAGAGATATGACTCAAAGTTTTAAGGTAATAAAGAAGGCAGATATAAATGAAGATACATACATATACACCAAGCTTTATCCTGTTTTTGATTACACTTTGGCATATGTAGACTTGGCTCTGAAATGAATGGTTTAAGTGTCTGGCTTCATGGTAAGATGATGGAATAAAAGTGTCCATCATAAGACCTCAGAATTTAGAAATAGGTGGTGGGAGAGATACAAGCACAAATAAATAGAAAAAAAAGTACAAAGTGAATTGCATCTTCAAACTCACTTCTCAGGAGGAGTGGAAGCCTATTCTACAAGTTCAAGGTGAGCCCTATGATAACAGACTGGCAAACCTAGCTTCAGAAGTAAAGCCCTGGTTCTTAGATGCTTTAGTTTCACTGAGATTTACTTGAACAGTGATTCATCCTTGATGGCAAGCTAGCTTTGGAAAAAAAAATCAATTGCAGCATTTGCTGTATTTTGGATGACTATAACCAGGAGCCATCTTGAGAGGGTGCCTCTTATTTGAGACCTGGTGATTCTAGAGATCAGAAAACATGGAACAATCATAATTGTAGGTCCCTTAGGATACCCTGCTGCAGTGACTGTGTAGAAGACAGGCTGGGGTTACCACAGTAAAAAGAGAGAGGGTACGTCACAGGCCTACTGAGAAGTTTATACAGCAGGGAACTCCAGGAGCTCTGGCTAGGGAAGGCAGTGTGGCTGGCAGTTGTGTGCTCTGTGGCCAGAACTCAGACCCATCAGTGGTGGTTTGCTTAAAGGGTCAGGTCTGAAGAGCATGCAGAGACATGCCAGCAGCAGGCTGCTTGGTTGTAACAGCCACTCCCTCCAGTCTACAACTCTGTACTGAACTCAGTCAGAAGCATAGAAGTCTGCGGGCTTCACTCTCTGAGGCACTCAGGTACTTGCCTTGGCTTGAGTGTTTGTCACACTCTCTAATGAGCACAGCCCCTGTGCTACCATGGTTTGAGGTCAGTCTGGGTAGGGCTGGTGGTCTGCATTGTGTCTGTGTGGTGCTGGTGTCACTGTTCCTTCCCTTGAGAGAGTGGAAACACGAGGAAAGTGTGCCATTGGAAAAGAGTACCAGCGCATGCTATAGACATAGCTCCAGTTTCTTTTTTCTAGAAGGACAGTGTAGCCATTTTTTGAATTTTTTCCACTTGTTATTTTATCTTAAAATTGAATTCTTGTTCTGTACTTTCTCAAGCCAAAGTATGGATTTTCAGTATTCCTGAGAAATTCTAGGTGTGATGGGTCTGGAAGGAGTAGATCCTGAGTTTAATCAAACGAATGCTGTTATGGATCACCTCGAGTGCTTTTAACTGAGTCATGGAATTTTCAGTGTTTTTGAAAGAACAGTTTTTAGTATGATTTTCTTTTCTCCTTACTGCCTGTACTTTATTACTTCTCACTTACCTCAGAAGGATTTCTGGCTCTCTCTTCCTGCCACAGGAGCTGAAGGTGCTGACCAAGCTTATGTCTGTGGCTTGTACCAGACTGCACCATGATCTTGTTCTTCCCTTCTGGGCTGCTGAGGCCTGACGATCCCCTTCTATATCTGTCTGCCTCTCTCCCTTTTTCTCACTGTGTCTCTTCCTTCCTTTCTGTCTGTGTCTGTCTGTCTGTCTCTCTCTCTCTCTCTCTCTCTCTCTCTCTCTCTCTCTCTCTCATTTTATTTGCTCTTTTGAGACAGAGTCTGGCTATGCAGTTCAGGCTGGTCTGAGCTCACTATGTAGACTTGCCTCAAACTCACAGTAATCCTCCTGCCTCAGCCTTCTGAGTTCTGGGATTATAGACTTGCATGTATCACTTCACCTGGATGACCATTTGCTTCTGAGCCAAGTTCTCCTCTCAACTCATTAACTTGGCACATGCTGAGAAGAATGACACTTCTGGACCTTGTGGGAATGAATTGTGGATGAGCAAAGGATGTTTGCAGACAGCCTGCTGCCTCAGGAGCAGAGTCAGAGGATGTAGGCATACACTTTGCCATGGTCAGGCTGGCCAGCCTCAGGACAAGTCTCGCCATGGATGTAATGTGGGAGACCAGGCAGGAGAACTCAGAACTGACCTTGTCCCTATCTGTCCCAGAGAGCATCTCCTCAGATAACTCAGGAGGAATCTTTCCATATGTCTTTTCCTGACTCTCTAGGTGACCTGCACATGGAGACTCTGGACATTGAAAATGACTTCTGGGGCCCTCAAAAGTGTCTCGCCAAGGAGATAGTTAACAAAGGAAGGAGATTGTGGCGGTAAGTGTGAGGTTTTGCCTGCCCAAACTTGGCCTCACCCTCCACATTCCCCACATTGGGTCCCCACAGACAACTACCCACAATCCCTCCCGTTGTTCCTCTCCTCTTGACAAATCAGTAAGAACAGACAAAAGTGAGATGACAAATCAGGAAGAACAGACAAAAGTGAGATACTGGCTTGGTGCTTTTAATATTGAGAACTATGTTTTCTAATAAAAAATTTTAAGTATACACAGAAAGTATAAGGAACTCCCCATAACCAGATTTAGCCATGATACCACTCAATTCATTTCAACTGTTCTCTGGCCTTCTTCCTTCTTTTAACAGTATTTTGTTTCAGCCCATGGTATCAGATGAGTTTATACTTAAATAGTTTATTATGCATCTCAAAATATAAAAATAGGTTTTCTTATATACATACTTAATTTGACAACTAAAAAGGCTGATATTTTTCATATCTTCTAAACCTACTGTCTGTTCACATTTGTTCAATTCTAAGTAATGTGCTCTGCTTAATGATCCATTGTACTCATGTACAATGAAGTTCATTGTTATATTTACTTTGTCTCTTAACTCTCATTTAAATTTCCCAAAATGAATATGCCTTTGATTCAGTAACAGCTACTATGAACCCTACTAGTTCACAAAACCCTCATAATAATTGGGAACACTAACATGTATGTGGTAGATCTACCCCACAAGGGATCAGTTTCTAAGTGATACATTTCCATAATTATAATCACAATTTCTTATGTAACACATTACCACATACCAGGCTATCACAGCCCCTGTCTCCTCCAGGAGATAAGCATACTCTTACTGACTACTTGCAGAAATCAAAATCTATCTACCTCACCTCCTTAATAACTCTGAAAAGCATTGTTTTCAACTCCAAGGAATACCACTAATATTGCAAGGATAAACAAGTGCTTTTTTCTATTTATTTTGGTATCAGGACTCAAATTCATAACCTTTCGTATTCCATATCCTTCTTTTAATTGTCATCACACTAGTAATAACTCACTACTACCAACATACATTAAGCTGTCACTTTACATTGGTTCACTCACAATTTAAAACTCTGTGATATGAGTGCTGATGTTACTCCTGTTTACCTACAACAAAACTAAGATTAAGGATGTGCAATCACTTCCCCCAGGATTCACATTTGCGAACAGGAGCCAGGACCTAAATCCAAATCTTGTGGCTCTGTAGTTGGACTGAAACCTCCCCACTGATCCACAAATCCCTACAGTGAGTCTGAAAAATCTCAGCGTCTACCTCTTTCTTTTCCTCCAGTGTTCACTTCCCTGTCGCTGGCCACTACCACTGGTCCAAAACTCATCTTGGCTTTGTGGTGAGAAAGGAAGTGACTGTTGAGATTGGATTCTGTGCGTGGGATCACTTTCTGAGCACACATAATCTACAGGACACCTGGATGGTGGCAGGACCTCTCTTCGACATCAAGGCTGAGCAGGGAACTATAGCTGCTGTGCACCTCCCTCATTTTGTGGTTGTCAAAGGTAAATCATAAAAGGAAGGGAAGGGTACTGATGAAACAGGCATGAAAGAGGTATAGGGTATGGGAGGGTGGGGAGAGACATCGTAGCTTCTTTAGAAAGACAGAGAGAGTTTTGGATGTGGACACTAAAAATGTTTTTGGTTTTCTTTCTGCACATATCTTTTCTAAAGCACATGCTTCTAGTTCTTATAATTGCTTTTTCCCCTGAGCTTACTTGAAAATTTCCCTAAGTGGAAAGTGACCTTAATAACACAATTAAGCAACATACTGTCTCTCAGGAACCCATCAGGAAACAAGTGATAGGCTCACTGAGATATTTGGATGGATTTTCAGACAGGACTATATACAAAACAAGGATAAGAGAACTAACAGTGAATTTTAGTATCATGAGTCATTCACAAATAAGAAGGCTTTATAGCTCTTAAAGGCAAAGAGTGAGAACAAATTATCACACTCCATTTTGTGCTGCAACCAGCAAAATGGGCTCCGTAGCACAAGAGAGTAATCATGAAGTAGCCCAGCATCTGTTACTTCCAAAGAAATACCATAGATAAAGTTCAGAAAACATAAGCTTACAACCATAAATCTCAGAAAGCTTATATAGTGTACCATACATGACAGCCAGTGGGAATCTCACATATCATATGAGCCCCTTAAAAGCTTCAGAGACTGAATTATCAGAAACAGGGCTGAAAAGTGTATTCTCAGAGACCTGACTGCTATATGAGGCAGATCTTCAACTGCCTGGATGAGGGGTACAGTGAAGGATGAACTAGAAACAGAGATAAATTTAATAATTTAGAGAAGGTGGGCTATAAGGTCAGTGCTTCCACATGTGCAAGGACAAAAGACCTATTTCATAGACCCACTGTTCTTTTTTCCAAGAAGAAGTGCAGGGGGAAAGGGAGGGTACTTTTCCTGAAATAGCAATGAAGTAGAAAGAGAAATGAGTTTTGCATCACAAAGAAACAAGCTAAGCTCCATCCCATCACCTCTGTACTTGGCCTCCCTCTGTCTTTCTCAGCAGACCTCATCCTTCTCTAAGAGCTCCATGGCCTTGCCGGCCATTAAGTCCTCCATTCTTTAGCCTCAGTTAATAATTTGTGCTCCCTAACAGTGTATAATACACTGAGATAAATGTGTGCTCTTAAAAATATGAGTAAGAAGCAAAAGATCATTAAAATGATAAATTTTGAACAAATTAACCTGGCAGAATACACGAAAAAGCATTTTTCAAAAGCTTAATTAACATATAAGCCTCATCTACATCTCATTGGACTTATAGAACAATATGAAAGATACAACAGAAAGGATAAATATTCAAAGAGATAGCTGCTGAGACATTTCTAGAATTGCTGAAAAATATGAGACTTTTTGGAATGAGAAATCCCCAAAATCCAAAGCAGGAAAAAGGAAAAGTTGAGGCTGGCCCCTCTTCAGGTACTCCTGGCAAAGCCACAGCAGCTCCAGCTGTATGAGGTCCCTACAGGCACAGGGTGAGTGTGCTCCTGCTTGTACAGGTCACTGGTACTTAGGAAAGCCTTGAGGCAGTGAGGACAGGCATGTGGGCGCATGAAGCTGAGTGCAGCTATGTTTGCATAGCTTGCGCTGCCTGAGAAACTCTCGCCACACTGCATGTAGGGAAAGCTATCACTCAGGCTGTGAGCTTTCGTGTTAGTGTCAGCATATTAAGGGCAGTGTGAGGAAGGTCTCTTGGAACTCACTACAAGTAAACTCTGATGGCTTCTCATCGACCTCCTCAACCCAGTCAATCCTAAGGGATCTGGATCCATCCTGATGCCTGGAGCCTGGCACTCCACATGCTCCATTGGCATTCCTACCACTTGCCACTGTGTGACCATCATCAGGCTGGACTTGGTGGGCAGCGCCAGCAGCCCAGCCAGAGGGTCCCTGAGGCCCATAGCTGTACTTGGGATGGGTGGACTCTCACCTGTCTCACTGGCACTGGAAGTGCCAACCTGACCATCAGCTCTGGTGGGGCAGCCTCGCTGCTCCAGTGTGTCCACTCATGCTTCCAGAGGCTGGACGACATCACTAAAGACCCTCAGTAGGTGCCACAATGGAACAGGCACTGGCCGAAATGCACTTGGATATGTTTGGTCAGGCTGGCACACTCAGCAAAGGCACACCCACACTTCTAGAGCAGAAGGGTCACTGACTCGAGTGCACCAGGGCATACCACTTGGGGTCCTAGGATGCCACACATGTCTTGTTGCACTGCAGGTACTTGAAGAACTGGTTGCCCATGTGCAAATGCCAGTGCATGACCAGGTCCACTGACTGATGGAGGTCCTTGCTGCCCTTGTCACAGCACTAGGGTTTTATGTTCTTGTGTGCATGCTAGTGCACCGGAAGCTACAGGGCTCAGAGAACACTCATATAGGAGAGTGCACAGGAGAGGCTTCTCCATGGAATGCATGCAACTGTGGCTACAGTAGGAGCTGAGCTGTGTGAAGCCCTTACCTCAGGCTGGGCAGTGATAGGGCTTCTGTGCTACATGGATGGGCTGGTGGCAGGTGAGGGATGAAGAGCAGATGAAGCTCTTCTTGCACTCAGAGGAGAGGAAGGGGCACTCCCAGGTGTGGGACTGCTAGTGGTTTCACAGGTCCTAGAGCTCGACACTTTGCTTACCTTGCCGCAGCACTCGCGTGGAGCCTTAGGGCCACAGTTCCACATCACGCTCCGATGCCTGCCATACACCAAAAGATCTGCGAAGCTCTTGCTACAGTCAGTGTAGGGACAGAACCCGTGCCCATATGACTGCCCACCCCTGTGGATCCTGAGCTTGGGGAGAGGGGTTGGGGCAGTGCACACTAGGACAACTCTCCCACATGTGAGGCCAAGAGTACTCACAGGCACATGGGCTACATGAAGCGGCGACTGTAGTGTGAAGAAGGGAAGGGCTTCTCTCCCATGTGATTGCTCTGGTGGCTGCAGAGCTCGGGTGTTAACTTGCAGGCTTGGGGGCACAGTGAGCACATTAGGGCCTAGGCTTTGCCGCTGAGCCCAACACTTTATCCCCACTGGTTTCTTCTCCCTTGGCTTCAGTTTCCTGCTTTGGCTTCACCTCTACCTCTTCCTCTGCATGGTCTGCAGGCACTTACAGGGCAGTGTGGTGCACAGCCTTAGGGGAATTTAGAAATGTCTTGGTTCAGGACAGACACTTACAGCAACAGTCACAGAGCTTGTACCCATGGGCAGGGGACTTGGTCTCTGTGGCCTGTATCTCTATGACCACGGTGAGTGAGGCTTCTCCATGTCAACATCATGAGAAAAGTTCCTTCTGCAAATAAAGGAACTGAGGTCCAGAGCAGCATTACAGCACTGAGGTTAAGTGCACAGTCGTGGAAGCCAAAATGCCCAGGTCCACATCTTGCCTCATCACTCCCCAGATGATGTGACCTTGTGTAATTTACTGTATGTCTGAGGACCTTAGTTTTCTCATCTGAATTGATTTGGACCGACTCCATGGCATCAGGATAACAGTAAAGGGCCTGTGCTAGGACCCAGCAGGGATCCCCTCATTGCTATTGTATTCACTGGTCTATAACCAGTCCAGGAGCTGAACCCATACTAGATTGCCAGGAACCACAATGATGTCACACATGATATGAAGCTGTTCATTCTTTGGAACCTACTTCTTCTGAGTGCATCATAAAGAGACCTGAAAACACTCAGGTTCAGCCACATTTTTCTTCACAGACCACAAGGGTTACCAGGAAGACTGAGCCAAGTGTTTGAAGAAGACACAAGTGTTAATGTGGTTGGTCAAGCTGTGTTTCATGCCTGATAAGGGAGAGCCTATGCTACAGAGTGCTTTACTGTGAGAAACTCAGTCTTCACAACGGCAAGAGGAGGTATGCACATGCTTGTTGGTGATTCACAAAGAGGTTAAGTAACTTGTTCAGAGTTGTGCAGCTGGCAAGGAATTTCAATGAATAATCAAGGCCAGGTAGTTCCCACCCTTTGTGATTTGTCAGAGCCTCACTCGTGTATGATGTGGGTCCCATTGTCCCTCTTGGACCAGAACCTAGAACACACTGCCAGGTCACTCAGTAGGAGACCAGGGCCAGGTTAGAATCAGCCATAGGCACAAGAGCAGTATCCAAAGGAGACTGTTCTCTTAGAGATAAGAGGAAAAAAAGCCAAAGAAAAGATTGGAGAAAAGATTGGGCACCCAAGCTCAGAAGGGGGGCAGCCAAGAGGCTTTCCTGACTCAGAACACTCACAGTGCTCTGGGCTGTGTTCAGCTCAATGGCTGTTTTCTCTCTTGGCCATAAGCCATGCTTGTGTATCCAAGGTGACAGCTATGTCCACAGGGCACCCATAAACACATATGAGATTCCACAATGAAGACACAACCACATAAACACACTATGCCCTTTCGGTTTTCTAAATATGTCTAATGAGTTCAGATAAAGGCAATTCTGAGACAAGGTCCTGGACTTCCTGCCAGTGATTTTTGTCCTAGTCACCAGTAAAACTTCTTCCCCTTTAGACTCTGGTATTCCCTGCTGCTTTTCTGTTCTTGCCATTCCATCAGCTTACAGTGTTAGGAGACTAGCAGAAGGTGATTCTACCACAGTCTATAGAAAGATCAATAGGGGAAAGTGACTGTCATAGTTACTTTCCTTGTTTCTGGGGAAAATGACCAACATCTACCGCTTGAAGAAGGACTTGACACTTTGGAAGTTTCAGACCTTGCATGGCACTCAGAATGGTGCAAGAGATTGGGTGGAGAAAAGATGCTCTTATAATGATGACCAGGAATCAAAGAGCCGAGAATGAAGCTGTGAAGGAACATGAACCTTTTCAATTCACTCCCAACTGACCTTTCTCTTGTTACCAGACACCACCACCTAACAGCACATTTGCAATAATGCAGTCACCTTCCAAACTCATGAGACTTTGAGAGCAATTTTGGATCTAAACCAACAACATTCTGCGTGGCCCACTTATGAAAATCTCTTCAAACAAAAT